TGTGTCAATGGATGGAGGAGCTACCAAAAAAAAAAAAAAAGAAGAAGAAGAAAGGGGAAGGAGAAGAGGAAGGAAGGAAAGGAAGCAAAGAGGCCACTGTTGGACAAAGGACGATGGCCAGGGAGCCATGAGGGGTGGTACAGAATGGGAGATACAACCACAGAGCTGGGCTCTTGTTTTCTGGTCCTTCAAGTAACTTTGCATCCCTGAGCATAAGTTTCATCATCTGTAAATTGGGGATAATAAAAATATCTCCCAAAATTACTATTAGACTGAAAAGTGGATGTAAAAACATTTTAACACATTATGATGATTTGCAGTATAACTAATGCGTTACAAAATACTGTGCTAACAACAACAACAACCAAAAAAAAAAAATTCTACACTTTCCATGAAGCAAATCCATGGCTCCGGGGATCACTGCTAAGAGCCCCAGGGTACCCATGAATCCAGACACTGAACAGGTTATCATCTTATAGTTCCTCCAGGTTGCCCCAGTCCCATTCTGCTGGGAAAGATCAGGAACAGGAGGACCAGAGCCTAACCAACAGATAAAATTCAGCCAATTTGGTAGGAAGCTATGAACCTACAAGGAAGAGATGTGAACAGACAGGAAATAAAATGATTATTTGCTAATCCTCTAGAGGCCCACAGGAACTTAAAACTAATCAGCACTGGGAGATTGTGTCCTGATTCTAAAAGATTCTATTTTTATTTTAAAGGCAGATTTTAAACAAAGAGAAGGAGAGATAAAGATCTTCCATCCAGGTTCATTCCCCAAGTGCCTGCAGGTGCCAGAGCTGAACTGATCCAAAGCCAGGAGGCATAAACATCTTGCTCGTCTCCCACGTGGGTGCAGGGTGCCAAGGCTTCATGCTGTCTCCACTGCTTTCCTAGGCCACAGCAAGGAGTTGGATGGGAAGTAGAGCAATATGGACACGAACCAGTGCCCATATGGGACTCTAGCGCCACAAGGCAGAGGATTCGCTTGTTGTGTCACCATGCCAGCCCCAATTGTGTCCTTACATTATAGATGAGGAATTCTTGACATGGTAAAAGAATTTTCCCAAAGTCCTAATAGATGCCAAGGGCAATCTCTGACCTGCCCAGGTGTGCCCAGTCTCTAAGCCCAGATGCTTTTCATCAGCTCAGCACAAAAAGCGGCCAAGGACATGCCTCGGTTCTGCCTCCCAGACAGGTCAGGAGGAACCAAGGCTGGCAGCACGGTCAGGTGCACCAGCATTTACACTCTCTGACCAGCAGCTGCCAGGGTGCTAGGACTTCCCACGATGCCAGCACTCTCCAAGATCACATCAACTCAGCAAGATCCCTGGGTGTTCAGGATTCAGAAGGAAGGTCAGCTTTTTCCATACCATGTCCTCACTGCACCCCCAGCCCCGGATCTTGTCATCTGTCCACTGGAGTCCAGAGACTCTTGCAGGCCTGTATTTCCTTTACCGTGCCTGCAGAGGGGCTCCTCAGTTTTAGAAAAGACAAAAAAACAACAAAAAGAAACAAACAAAAAAAAAACCCACAAACTCCAGGCAACTCATCTTTCCCATCCATCTCTCCTTGTCCTACTCTCTTCTCCCTTTCTGTCTCACCTCTTCCAGGGTCAGCTTTGCAACTGGAAGTCATACATGGTTCTAGCTGGATGGGGCATCGGCACATATGTGGGTCCCCAGGCTGCCTGGGCTCTGGTGCAACATGCCTCAGGTAGGGCCATCCCAGGCTCTCTAGAGAGAGCTGTAAAGCCCTGGAGATTCAGCAGTTTTCTCCAATAATCATCTCCATCCTGAGCTCCTGCAGGACATCTCCTCCTCTCCTCACCCCCATCCCCGCCACCTCCGGGCTGGCATTTCCCTCTAGTGCACCTCCCCAGTTCTTCTAATTCCCACATCCTGGTGCCAGTTGGACAAGTCAGACACCAAGCAGTCCCCAGCCCTGCTCTGTTCTCCAGCCTGCACCCCAGCCCCACCTGGAGCCTCACAGCTGCAGAGAGCTGACTCAGCTCAGGCTCCCCACAATCCCTCCCTCTTCTTCATTACTGCCCCCGCTGCCTCAGCCCTGCAGTCAGGAAGCAGCCTGCACTGGGTCCACAGGGAGCTCCTGTCAAGAAACTGAAAAACCAGGCTAATTAAGGCTCACAGCTTTATATAAGCAAAGGAGACTTTGCTGCACGCTTCCAGTTTTGTTCCTGCTGGCAGAGCCCCCCCTCCACCCACAGTCAGTGCTGACAAGGGCTTCCTGACCCACCACCACGACTAATGGAGTCAGACTGTGGGGGAAGGGGTGGGGACTTCCACAGACCCTGGCCCTGGCGCAGTGGCTCCTTACTGCCCACTCACTTTCACCCCCACAGGAAGCTACCTGCTGCAGTCCCCATTGCTGAAAAGACCCAGAGGCCCGGCTGTTGCTCAGGAGTAAGTCTGAGCCGCTGACGTCACCTCCTGCAGCCATATTTCTCTTTGGCTCCAAGCCTTGCTGCTCACTGCAGCTTTGTGCAGCTTCAGATGGAAGTACAGACGGCACACACAGTCTCTTGCTATGCATGCTAGGATGGAGTTGAAGGTATACATCAGGCAATGCACAGCGTGGCTAGTCTAGGGAAAGGACCAGGCAGCATCCCAGGGGGAGACTGCATCATGCTACCCAGGATGGCACACAACCTAACACAAAGTGTTTATCTCTGCAACTTTCCATTTAATATTGTCTGGATTGCAGTTGACTGCGTTTAACAAAAACCACAAAGAAGCCCTCACAGAAGGGAAGACGACTGCATCTCAGACTCACGAGTTTAAAGATGACAAAATAGACGTGTCACCAAAAGTTGTCCAAAAGAAAAAACAAAACAAAACAAAAACAGCACGTGGCCCCATGTCACTGTGGATAACAGAACTGAGGGCAGCATTCCAACGTGTCCACTTCCCTGTTAAATTTTGTGGTTTTTTTTTTAACTTTGCGATTTTGTTTTCATAGTTTGATTTCTAAAAACAAACAATTTTAATCCCTGCTTTTTTTCCCCTCAACTTTCTTTCAAATATTTATCCAAATATTTGTATGTTTTTGTGGCCATCATTTAAGTGACTGTTAAGTACAGAACATTCTATTAAAAAAAGAAAACAACTCTTATCAGTCTGTTTGGCAAAAGGAACAAATTTCAAATATGATTCTCATTTTCGTCTGATGATTATAAAAACACACATTCACTGCATAAGATTTGGAAAGCCCAAGAAAATAAAAAGAAGATGAAAATATCTCACAAGCCCATTAGTTAGAACGAATTATCCTTTGAGGGGGAAAAAACGTGTGATTTCTAAGAAAAGCCATCCCATGGAGGTGAGCTTATTTACAGAAATGTGTGAAAGTCTTTGAAAGCCTAGCATTGTTTCCAATAGTTTGATTTTCCCAAATAGCATCCTAGCAAACACTCTTACGTGTGAACCTGGAACTATTTGTCAAGAGCTCCATTGCCAGAACAGATCAACCTGCTCCCACTCTCTGATACATACACTACGCACTACACCACCCCAACCCTCCTCGCTCCTTCTGTGTGTACATTCCTGCAGAGGTCAGTACGCAGTCTGGGCCACACTCCCCTAGAAAATAAAAGCCATCCCTGCTCTCATGGTCCAGGCCAACATCGAGGGAAGCCCCACATTCCAGGGAACGCACAAGCTGGAGCCGCGATGCTGCCTCTCAGAGAGACTCTCAGAGGGAGAGAAACCACCCAGGACAGAGACAGACCAACACATGTCGCCATGGGCACACACCAGTTCCTGGAGAAGACTGTTGCAACTCCCAAAGCCCCTGGTGTCACCGTTGACAGAAAATTGCTGCCATTAATTGTGCACTTTCTCCATTCAGGTCCAAGTGCTTTGCAAATACACAGCACTCAATCTTCGCAGCAACTTTACTATTATCGCCATCCCATGGGGCTTCGTGACTCTATTGGCTAGATGAGGTTTAATGAACCACCTCAGGTGGAAACAAGCTCAGACTCAGCCAGTCGGCGGCAGTAAACACCCACACGCCCACTTGTTTCTCCCACAGCCCCCCTTGGCTGAGTGGTTGCCTCCTGAATATCTTCTGTGAATATCCACAACTCTGTATCCACTCACCCTCCTGGTTTGAATACCAATGTTTTCTCTGCAACTTGAACCACTGCAGTAGCCCAATAACCTCCCTCTGCCAGCTACATCCATTGCCCATGGAGAAGCCTGTATACTTTGCTCCAAAACCCAGATTCAAGTGTATCGTCCCTCTCCCCGAAGTCCTTTAGAGGCACCTTGTTGCCTTTAGCACACACCTTGGCTTCCAGCACACAGCTTACAAGACATGGACTTGAGCATCCTCTCTGTCTCTTTCCTGCCTCCTAGCATTCTTCCTCATTTGTTAAGAAGCTAACCTCCTGCAGCTTCAGTCGCTTGGACACAAGCTCTTCCTTCAGCCACCATGATGCCATACTCCTACTTAAGGCTCACTCCCACCTCAGCTCCTGTGTGACTCTCCCAGGGCATTCCCCCATAGCCACCGCTTTCACCATCACACAGCATGTTCCACGGCTCCTGCAAATGGCCAGGAAGCAGTCTTCCACCCAGAAATGGGAAGGCAACCCATTGGCTTCCACCACCTACAAGTCAGCTTTTCTTTCTCTTCAGCATTTGTGACAACCTGCATGCCATGACTACAGCTTGGATTTCCTTCCCTCACATTTCTGGCAGGTTGTGATGGAAAAGCAAGAAGAAGAGGAGGGGAGAAAAGGAAGCAAAGAGGCATTATTCATTCTCAGACTCACCAGAACTTTCTGGAGTACAACAGAACATGACTACAACTCTCTGTGACCATGACCAAGAGAGTAGTCGCTGCAAGAAATTCTCCAGCAGGAACCTGTGGGGTTTGCCACTCCCCAGCAGCACCTGCTTCAGCCGCAGGGAGGGTGCTGCCGTCTAAAGCCGGCCTTATCTCTGTACTTTCTGTTACACTATCAAGAAACTGACCGTAAATTCAGCGATTTTCGGCACCCGGAACTTCCCTTTGTTCTTCTGTTCGGGCTGATATTCCGTTCTTGTCTTCACAATCACCTGAAAAGAAAAAAGTTCAAACAGAATGAGCACACCTGGACACTCGGAACATTTTTCTTTCCCTTCATTCTCTTCTTTTTTTATAACTTATTATCCATACCATAAATATGAGAATACAAAAATTTCCTCCCTCCCACACACACACCAGAAAAGAGAAAATATAAGTAACATTTTCCTGTCCAAACAACCACACTGCTGGTTGTTACACCTTTCCAGATGTTTCTATAAACATATATGTGTGTGAGTACCGTATACATTTGCCATTTATGAAAAGTTTTAAATGAAATGAATGATGAATTCATACTTCATGAACTACTTTGTAACCTTTTATCACATAACCCTACACTCTAATTTTCCAGTGTAGACAAATATGTGGTTTCAATTTGCCCTTTTGAAAAGATCTATTTATTCATTTACTTGGCAGTCATTATTACAGAGAGAGACAGAGACCCTCTATCCACTGGTTCACTCCCCAAAGGGTCACAACAGCCTGGAGCTGCACCAGGTCAAGGCCAGGAACCAGAAGCTTCATTCAGGTCTCCACGCACAGGTGGAGGAGCCAAGCTCTTGGGTCATCTTCTGCAATGAAAACTTACTTTACTTGCATTTTCCATAAACTTTTTGAAGTATGCTTATATAAACAAGTCATGTGGGGGGTTGGCTCTGGCACTGAGGAGGAAAGCCACCACCTGAAATACCAGCATCCCATGCGCAGCGCCAGGTTCAGTCCCAGATACTCTACTTCCAATCCAGCTTTCCATTAAATTCCCTGCTTAAAACAGCAAAATAGAGCCTGAGTATTTGCCTCCCTGCCACCCACATGGGAGACCTGGATGAAGTTCCTGGCTACTGGTTTCACCTTGGCTCAGCCCCAGTTGTTGTGGTCACTGAAGAAGTGACCCATCAGATGGAAGATTGTGTGTGTGTGTGTGTGTCCTTGTGTCTCTGTCATTTTGCCTTTGAAGCATACAAGTAAAAATCTTTTTTAAAAGAAAGCTATGGTAAAGATCCTATAGCTAAACCTTCATATATGCACTTAATTCCAGTTTGATGAGAGGGGGAACTGTAGGCTCACATCTACTGCCCCATTTTTCTGAAGTCTGAGTGTTTTTGCAGAGGCAGTTAACATATTATCAAGATATGCTGTCTGGCTGGTGTTGTGATGCACACTAGGCAGCAGCCTGCATCGCCAACATCTCCCAGGTGCACCTGTTTGACTCCTGGCTATTCCACTTATGATCCTCTCCTTGTTAACATACCTGGGAAAGCAACAGAAGATGGTCCAAATACTTGGACCCCTACCCTTCGTTTCAAAGACTTAGCTGGAGTCCCACATTCCTAACTTCAGCCTGGCCGAGCCTCAGTCATTGAATCCATTTAGGGAGTATACCAGCAGATAGAAGTGTGTGCGTGTGTGTGTGTGTGTCCTTCTCTCCATGACTCTGTAACTCTGCTTTTTCAAATAAAATAAATCCTTTAAAAATATATATGCTCTCAACCTACCAGCCCATTAATGGCACTCCACCCACTACCACCCCTCCCCACCTCCACATAGGCAGAGTGGAAGGAAGGAAAGGCTAAGTGATCACCAGTTGCTATTGCAAACGCCCCCACGGCCCTCAAGAACCCAGAACTACCTGAGTTTCATCTGTGTAACATGAGCAATAACCATAATCACAATCCCACTCGATAAGGTTGTTTCTAGAACTCAACAAGATGGTAATGGGTGACCTCTTTGAACCGTGTCTACACGCCAGCACTAAGATCAAGCACTTTCTATACCCTGGCTGAATCCTGCTACCATCTCCCTTCTCCTGCCAAGGGCCCTGCAACTCAAAGAAAACAATCTGCTAACCACAATCACTCCTACAGTTTGAATCCACAGACTTGGAGCTTGAAGCAACAGAATGTTCACAGAAAACTCCCACCAACTTTTCATGCAGACAGCGATCTTGTGTATTCACTAAAGCCATAGTCCTTCCATGAAGGGTGTTCTTTCAAGTCTGCAAGACATGGCACAGACTCAAGGCAACTCACAAAGGAAAAAGATGGGAGAACACCCACTATACACATGGCACTGTGAGGTGTCGGGAGAGCCCCAACCTCAGAGCCTACTTCCAGATGAAAGCTGTGCTGTTGTGTCCCCCCTCTCCACAGTCTGCTACTCTAAACAGCAAAGAGGGAGCCCCTGGCTTCTTTAAATAGGAAAGTGGTTCAGCCAAACACAGATGAGGACTTATGGCAGAGGCAGGGGAAGAATCTGCTGTTTTTATTGCTTCCTTCCACCTCCGTTGCAAAAGAAATGGCAACACAGACCCTTCCATACCATAGGTAATGAAAAGAACTCTATGTCTCTCTGTATCTATAGCTCCCTACACCTATGCCATGAAATGCTGAGATTGCTAATATGGTACTGGGGGTGGGCTGTGAGACTGTGGGCTGGCAGCTTCTGGTGAATGCTTAAAGCCTTCTATGTCTTGGTTTTCTCATCCATGAAACAGGAATCCATCAATATCTCATTGTATTGTTGTGAGGTACCAATGTGTTAACATAAGTTAAACCCTCAGACCACAGAGTCAACCTTTGAACTCTGTCTCTGACTGCTGCCACAGTTTCTTCCACAGATGCTTGAAGCACACATGAGATTGAACTTGGCTAGCACCTGTGAGCTGGAAGGCCCATATGGCAAAACCCCTCTAGAGCAACACACAGTGAAGACAAACACTCCTTAGGACGTCCACCTCCCATATCAGCGTGCCTAAGTTCAAGACATGGCTCTACTCCCAAGTTCAACTTCCCGCGAATCCACACCCTGGAAAGCAGCAAATCACGGCTTATGCAATTGGGTCCCCGTCACTCACATGGCAAACTGCAGTTGAGTTCTGGGCTGTGGCTTCAGAATGGCTCAGTCCCTGAGACTGTGGGGAATAAACTAGTAGGGCAGTTTCTTGTCCCTCTCTCTCTCTCTCTCCCCCTCTCCATTTCAAATAAATAATTAAGAAAACGAGAACAATCCTAATGCTGTTAAACAAGCACTTGACCACCCTATCAGAAGAACAAAATGGAACCGCAGTAGCAGCAAGGTATGGAAGACAAATACAAGTTTCCTGGGTGGACAAGAAAGCAAGTGATGTTTCCTGTAACCACATATCCAAAGTGGGGGGTGGAGGCAGGCATGAGCTGTTACATGGTCTGTACATTCCTTTTTTTGCAATGAACTGCAATGGAAAATGTGACAGTCAGGAGCAAATAACAAAGCAGAAGGCATAGCTCACAGGATAAGGACTTCCACTGTCACCTAACACATGACATTCCAGGGTGGGCCAAGTGCAGTAATATACATGAAGGTGACCTCTGTGATACTCAACAGGCTCTACCTATTATAAACCGTTTGGAGATCACTAGATGAATTGTTGATGATGAACTGCTACAGAAAAAAATGTATTACATTTCTCTGAATCCACATTCCTACAAATAAACAGAAACTTGGATTTATAATTTTACCTCCATACATCTGTATCTATATTTATATTTATACATATATATATTATCTACATAAACTTCCCAGTAAGTGAAATTAAGAGATAAGTTTACTTTGATACATGAACACTTCGGGGGGGGGGGGAACCTTCAAAAAGTATATGGAAAATGTACATTATGCAAAAAATATGCTCATCCTTCAAAATAATTTTGTGCAAAAGTAAGATTTTAATTTTATTTTTCTGCTAACAATTTATTTTCATTTTATTTGAAAGGCAGAGAGAAGGAGAGGTGGAATGAGGTCTTGCACCTGCTATTTCGCTCCCCAAATCCTTACCATAGCCAGGGCCAGGTCAAGCTGAAACCAGATATGTCAAACTCAGTCTAGGTCCCCCAGGAGGGCGACAGGGACCCACATCATCAAGTCATCCCTGGTTGCCGCCCTCGGTGAGCATTAGCACGAAGGCAGATTGGAAGCAAAGAAGCCAAGGTTTGAACCAAACAGTGATTCCACTTCCTCCTTTCATCCCGCCCTTCCATGACTAGCTGAAAGTCCTCTCAGATACACATACGTATATCCTACTTTACATATGTATAAAGCACAGTGAGTTTCCTAGTCTGTGTGAGCCAGAAGTCTTAGGACTGCTATTGCCTTTTCTGCTGAGCAGCTTTGGACCGTAAGACAATCTTCTCCCACAGAAATGTGAGCATATGCATGGGGTAGGGTAGTTGCTTCCATAATCATATTACGCTGTAGAAAAACTCCATTGAAGCTGACTAGAAAGAAACTCTGTGATTATGAGGAATTAAACAGACACGCTAAGAACAGGACCTCCATCACTCAGTGACCACACACACACACACACACACAAAACCTGAAGTCTGCCAACACCCTAAATGAGCTTGGAGGATCCCAGTAAGAATGCAACCCAGTTAACACCTTGAATTCAAGCTTGTGAGACTCTGCACAGAGTACTCAGTTTACCCTTGGTTGAACATGTGGGCCTATGAAAATTGTAAAAGAGTAGATTTGTGTTGTCTTCAATCACTAAATGTGTGGCCACTTGATGCAAGCAATAGAGAAACATCATACCTTCCCCATTGCCAAACCATCTCCTCACCTGACCCCTTCCCTGGTAGATCTTTGGACAGCAGCAAGTCTGGGCATCTTCATATCACACATCAAATGTACGAAGTCTCTGCTTCTTAGTCCTCCCTTCTGCTTTTCCATTGTTATAGTAGTACACATTTTGATGTTGTTTCTCATACATCCATTCCTTTCTTCAATCAAAAGTTTCCCAATACTTTTTCCAGTAACTCACCATTGCCCCAATGTGGGACATCCAAGGGAATGACGTGAATGCTCCCTGCTTCGATTAAACCAATCAAGGTATACACTGCTATTGATTATACAATGTGAGTGGCTCACACCTGGGCATGTCATTCAACTGGACCAATGAGATATTAGACAGTACTGACTGGGGTCAGGAGAAAGGAAGATTCCTAGGTCTTCTTGGGTA